CGGCGTTTCGTTCTCCTATCATCATGGTCAGGTGGTTTGTTAAACAACTCGCCATGACAGATTGCTGCCTCTCGCAGAACTGATCTCTATCGTCGTCACTGCTATCATTGGTGGATGAATAACACTGGATAATATTCGTTGTGATTCCCTCCTTATTTATTTCGGAGGATGCTTTAATGATCCTGATTCCATGAGATTCCCATCGTATGAGTGGATTTCGTGCTTCTCTGGACAGGATAGAAACATCTCCCTGAGTGTGCGGAACATTTTCCTCTTAGTGTCTAGAGTACAGCAACATCCCTCCCAAATCTAAACTTTTCTGTCTAGTTTGGGTCCAATGTATTTCACTGGTTCCAAGGACCATCAGTTTGGATCCCCTCATTTCCGTGGCAATTTGGTTGTTCCTACCAGTCTTTCATATTGTCCAGACACTCCATATACCTATAAAAATTTTTGCTCTGGTTGTTTGAATGAGTATGGGTATCGTAACTTCCGAAGAATATCGACTTTCACCATGAGGCATCATAATTCTTCTGAATAAATATCCTCGAAATCCCAGGTCAGAGCTTAAATGGTTTAAATTTTCATTCTGGTTAGCAATTTTTTGGCAAGGCTGTTATCTATGGGATGGGGCTGTTGACCACATGCTTAACCCTCCTTCTTTACTCGGACTTGGGGCCGGAAGTAACCCTAGAAGAGGTACAGATGGAGTGTCTTAGCATATATATATATATATATATATATATATATATATATATATATATATATATATATATATATATATATAATATTATATTATATTGGAAGGATTACCTTGATATTCCCACTAAGCGTCTCTAGTGATATGTACCAGATTCAATTTCTTACGTGAATATCAACATGGATTTAGTTATACTCAGCTGTGTCCTAAATTAGACTAAATTGCTTTCTTAGACTCACGGATAGCCATTATTCAACTAGGATTATGAATAAATATATTTGTCCAGAGGAAAATGTCCACAATCTAGAAGATATCGATTATTATTAGTGGTAATAATCGATTAATAATCTTCTTTGCTACTATTAATTAGTTATAAACTGAATGTTTTAATAATGATAGTCAAAGGAACTTATTAACTCAATGTTTTAAGCAAAACAAGTTTTAGAAAATGAACTATAAATAATCAGATTCTTGTTTTTATGTGGCAATATTTTAAATTAGTTTATTAGAAGACAAATTACTTAAAAATGAACTTCTTAGAAGATGAACAGAAGGAAGAAAAGAGAAATTTTAATGATGTTGTGTTATTTCTTGTCGATTATTTTCAGTCACTTGATACACTCGTGATAGCACAATTAAACACGCATTAATGTGTACAGAGTATGTGTTCTCGGTAAAGGCTTATTTCTTACCTATCATTGTTCTTCATACTGATGTCAATGAGTATCATTTTTAAATTATACAAATATATACATCAAATATCTTGATGAATAATGTAGATTAATGACTGTTTATGACATAAACTTTTCAAGATTCTTGTGGGAGGCCATGGCCATTACATTTGAACATTATAGGATGGTTGTAGATTGTATAATACCATAAAGTGGCTAGATTTAAAGATGCTGAATATTGGATTTTAAATTGGTGGTATCGCAGGATGACGCGAAGAGGACACATGCTGTCGCAAAATTACATGGTTGGTGGGAGATGTAAGTGTGGGGGAGCTAATGTGAATAAGATGGTTGTTCTATTAGCAAGGGTCACCTCCTATATGTCCCTCTCCGGATCAGTTCGGCAACTTATATGTACCTAAAAGTTGTGTCGTCTGTTATTCAGAGTTTGAGAAATAAAGCTTTATATTTATTCTTGATCTTCTCTCTGCAAATAGCGTGTTGATTTGGTGTAATAAAGCATGGGTAAATAACTGAAAAAAAGCAATGAAACTGAAAGTATGTTATATTTAAACACTGGTTTATTCAAGCCAAAAGTAAAGTATTATATTCAATTAAGTATTCTAATCTGGATCCTGGAAATGATAATCAAGAGCTAATTGGCAAGTTTCAGTTCTAAAATTCCTAAATTAATCCTAGTTAAGCTATTTACTTCGTTCGGTTAGCTGTGTCCCAAATAAATCCTTTAAATTCGAAACAAAATTATTTCAAGAAAACGGATAGTCAACTTGTAGTAATTCGATGACTGTTGCCTCGTGAATTTAGGTCAGTGTTCAATTGTGAAGATAATCAACGACATTCAAGTTTGATTAGAAAAAAATACAGAGAAACTGTCTGCTTCTAAACTGAGACGTGTTAATAGAAATAAATATCATGAAGGTAATACAATCAAATAAATCAGCACTTCAACATTCAAAGTAGATTAAAACTTGAAAAAATAATCACTACAAGTTACATAATGCCAAGAGTTATGAATTGCATGTACGCAGAGAAAATTTTGAATCTCCTAGTGTCGTTATAAGAGTACAGTATGGAAATAGATGATGAACTATCGGCTGAAAACTGGTACTGTTAATTTCTAATGTTCTCTTGGTCACAATTGTATTGCGAAAACAAAACCTAGTTGGGGTTCTGGTCTCAATTAAAGCTGATCAAAGAATTAAGATGAATGAAAGTTTAGATATTTCTAGATTGAATCAACTGTCAGTAATTATGATAAGTTTACTCTTTTTTTAAATGTATTCAAAATTTTCGAAATATCTTTCATTGAATCCATGAATGAACAATGACAAAAACTAGCGATTGAATGATTGAACAAATGGTATATTTAATAAACCTGAAGGTTACTGTGACTGAATTTGCGGTATTTGCTCTTTAGCACAAAACAACGTAATAAACAACGGAAGCAGTGCTTAATAAATAAGTTCGGTACTCGATAATCAATAAGAGTATTCCCAACAAGATATGATCAAATATCTATCTGCACGGATTCGAGTAACCGTTTCCAGCAGGCAGTCAAAGATCAATAATCAACAGCCGAACCTAGCCGTAACTTCATTATCAATGACCCGCCAACATGCAGCAGTTAAATTAAGTAATAAAAGTAAACTTTAAACTAAAATCAAATCATAGAGGTCCAAGCAAAGAAGACTGAAGGACAGAAAACATGGTTACGATAAGTTTGACTGAAGGTTAAAATACAAGACAGGGAAAAACAACAAAGAAATAACAATACTGTTAAATAAAACTTTGGAGGGATTTTCACTTTATTTTTTCCGTTACGGTTACAACAAACTGACACTAATATCTTACCAGTTAGATCTCTGGAGAATAAATGTAAATATCAAGAAAATTAACAAGAAAAAAATAATAAAAAAACAGATCAGTCAATTCAGAGTAAAGTCATAGGTATAATGAAGATACTCAAATGCTTAAAGTTCATTGCATAATTCACGTATAGTTTCAACATAATAAGTAAGAAAAGACTATAATCAGAGGAGGGTTTTTGTGGATATTATAGTAATTTCAATGGTTGAGATCATGATTATAATCATCATATGCTCACTAGCGACGGTCTTCAAGAGGTATTTCCTGGAGTTCTAGTGAAAAGCAGTGACCAATGGAGTTCAACCGGGTCTTTTGTGAGATAGTGACTCACTGAAGACATTGGCGGATGTGTCGCTCAATCTCGTTGATTGGTTGAAGTCAGACATTGACACCGTTGGATGTTGGCTCAATGGTCTAGTGGTTAAGCGTTCGCACGCGAGACTGATAGGTCCTGGGTTCAAATCTCGCGAGGCGAGGTTGTGGGTGCTCACTTCTGAGGAGTCCCACAATAGGACGAAACGGCCATCCAGTGCTTCCAGGTTTCCCACGGTGGTCTAGCTTCAATCCACTCATGATCTGAACCATTGAAAAGAAGATTATACATTGTCATTTTGATGTTTAAGTGTCTATTATAATCATCAAGGAACAAGAAAATAGAGTCAAAGATAAGCACTTCTGAGGATAAAGCAACTATTCAATGATTCTTAGTATTCATCAGTCTAACTAACAGTATTCTATAATATAAAATTATGAAAAACAAATAGGTAGTTTAATATGCATCCGTTCTCTAGTTTTCTCAGTGTTTATATTTAGTCAACGGTTGTGTGTATAGTTTCTATTGTATTCTTTCATTCAATTTTCAGTGATTGAGTATTATTTGAAAAAATTACCACTTAAAATAAATTTCTTCATGTTAAGCCTTTCGTATTTTAACAGATATCTTAGTAGACACGAATATAGTGTCTCTTATGTGACTAAATATGATAAATTTACTTTATCAAATCTCTCATAATACCAAAATGACCATTAGTGATTTAAATTACTTATCATGAAACATTTCACCTAACCTTTACAGATATATTTGATCAATACAAATATTTGACTGAATCAATAATTAGTGAGCTCAAAATATGAGTCAAATTGACATATTGTAGCATGTATATGTATATATGTATGTAAGAATATATAGGGCGTGCGTATGCACTATTTTATCATTTATTGAATAAAACACATTCAATAATGTATATTGATAACTATGCCTGTGTAAATGTGTATCCATATAAAGTGTACTACAAGCATAGAATATGTGTACTGTTCAGATTAGTTAATATTAAAGAAAGAAAAAAAATACGCAAAAAAATGTGTGTGAATACAATGCACACGCAAACACAAATCATGGCACAGTATACTTACTAAAAATATGGTTTACTAATCTGTCAGTTCTAGTTGACAACAATCAAATCTACTACTGATTATCTTTTAAATAATTTATATTTAAAAAATTTAATGTCATTATATATGTGCATACAGTCCAATGAATGTGTACTTGCAAATGATTGTATGTGTAATTCTATATATATATATATATATATATATATATATATATATATATATATATATATATATATATATATATATATATATATATATATATATATATATATATATATATATATATATATATATATATATATATATATATATATATATATATATATATATATATATATATATGTGCCAATGCTAATGTAAGTAAATGAATGATTACAGGAAATTAAAATCATTTTATATTATCATTTTTTAAAGTCTTTTTTATAGAACAATTATTTCATCATGTAAGTTTATTAATATAAAATATAGACAATGGACATTTTATTTTTTTGTTTTGTTTATTGTATTATAAAACATAATGGAAATAAAAAAAGAAGGAATGCTACATTGTTTATTCAGTTTTCTGGAAGTGGTCTTGAGTGCTGTTAGAGGTATGAGGGCGGTTATCACTTCCCGGTTGCCCACACCATGGAAGGGTTCTTCTGGAGGCGCCTGGAATGGAAATTGGATTAGAGGTGGTCTTAGTGACCTGAGAGCGTGACCGCAGTGCCCAAAGGACAACTGCTTGAGGTCGGTCACACACAACCTTTTTATGGGTAATTTTTGTGTTAGCTCCGTACTTGTTGAAACCTTACCGCCGGAGACGGATATCCGTGGGATAAGGTGAGGTGTGCGTTTTTAGGGTCGACCTTTTCTAACCCCACCCCTCCTTGTGGGAAGGCAGCATCGCTGTCATGCTGGTTGTCTGAAGGAAACACCTTACTGCTGTCACACCTCTGTACAGTCAGCAGTACGACTTCGCCTTCGGACCTTGGGTTTGTTGCTATTAGTCTTACCGCTCTTCATCCGACCTGTCTGACATGGTAGGACCTTGAGGAACGGTTGATCCAGCCAGTATAGCTCATCATGATAGGCAAGCCCGACCATCACGTCAAGGTAGCAACAACGGTATTCAGTTTTATCATGATAATAACAAAAAAACAAATAATAATGATAATAATCTGAAAGCAATTGAAAGAATAAAAACATTTTAAGATAAATAAGGAATTGATCAACTAATTATATATATATATATATATATATATATATATATATATATATATATAATGTTTATTACGCAATCGATAAAAGGTACTTTGATCTCTTTGTGATATATTTTTCATCTTTAATATGAAGGAGAGTGGAAGAAAGGTTAGAATGATCTTTATTAGTATGATTATAAAATATGAATAATTGAACAGTTTGATTACAGTCGATGAGATGATAAATCTTTGTAAGTAATGAAAAGTAATGAAAACAATTAGAAATTCATGCATTTATTCTAATTACGAAACATTTCGATTGAAACTATTCATATTCTGGTACTATTAATGTTAATGATGAACAATATATTTTTGAATTGATTTAAGTAATATATAAACTTTACTCGATATGAAAGATTGAGTAGAATTAAAGAAATTTCTAAAAAAAACCCGAAGTAATTGAAAATACAATGCAATCAATACGCTTTGATGGTAATCCAATATTACTTAAACGACTTTGCAAATGACTATTTTTTTTTAGTGCATACTAAATGATATTAGAACAGACAATTTTATGATGTACACATACTCAAACAAACAAAATTCTAAATTATTACAACTGAACATGTCACTTTTAAACAAGTTGGATAATCTCCTCGAATTTGTTGAATATGACTAATTATTAAACAACCATTCGTGAAGTTTTACTATTATCAATTGATTCAAATGATAAATATTCACTCAAACTGACAAGTACAAACACTATTATAATTAGAATATTTTACATAGTCTAATGTATACTGACACTAATGATTTATGACTTATAAATGAAACGTTTAACTGAATAAAATGGTGTACAGTATAAGTATATTTCTTAGATATCTAGGAAATAACATCACACTTCTAGAAGTTGTTTCAAAACTTTAAATAGTTTACTGGACACCTATGTATTTCACTTATTATCATACACAAAAACGATAGTCTTAAGATATAAAGATGCTGAATGTTTTTAGTGTTCACCATACTTCAGGTGAACTTTTAAAATATTCATCATGACTTTTACTCCATCAAATGCAAGTTAAAACTTCCTAATCGAATATAAGTTTGAGAAATAAGTCAGCTGATAAAATTATGTCCGTGGAATTTTATGTTCGTAGTGTTTCATTGACTTTAAAATTTTGGTCACCTAACAAAACTCAGAAATAGCAGAATTTTCTGAGATTTCAAAATCATAGCTATTCTGATTGAGGGGTTTGTTTTTGTTTAACTTGAATGAAACCTAGTCATCAATAGTAGGGGGTTGTTTACTGAAAAAAAAGGTAAATGGTTGACAGTAGTTCTTACTTTTTGATGGAGTTTGGTTCTTTGAGCTGGATGGTTTGGTCATTGAGCTTTCATTGTCCTTCTGAACAACATCATCAGCACAAACTTCTACCTCACGGTATGAACTTAGTTACTCTTTTAAAAGTAGTTGACAATTGATAAATCATTTTCTTTAAATGTTGTATATCATTGGTAGGCGATGGTAGATGATGACCTGGCAGATTGATAACTTTGATTTAAATGTCTTTATTTTTTATACTCTTTAATTATTGGTAATTTTGTGACTGTTAGTATAGAGGTTGTGGAAATTATTAAATTTTTAATTGAGATCATGAACCGATTGATATTAGACTACCATGAAAAACGTGGAAGCACTGGACGGCCGTTTCGGCCTATTGTGGGGCTCCTCAGCAGTGTGCATCCACGATCTCGTTCGCGGGGTTCGAACCCAGGGGCCTCCAGGTTTTCAGTGGTGGTCTAACATCAATCGGTTCATGATCTCAATTAAAAACCTAATAATCTCCACAACCCCTATACTGATAATTATCATGTTCTTACTAGTGACTAGCTTCGTGCGGGAATTCTCGGAGTTCTAGTGGGAAGCCGTGACCAGTGGAGCTAATCCGTGTCGAGCAGAGACAGGTATCTACCTCAGTACAATGAAAGACGGTCGCGCAACTTCGTGAATTGGTTGAACTTAGACATAAACACCATTGGATGCCGGTTCAGTGGTCCAGTAGGTTAAGTGTTCGCTCGCAAGACTGAAGGCCCTGGGTTCGAATCCCGCGAGCGGGATGGTGGACGCGCACTGCTGAAGAATCCCACAACAGGACGGAACGGCCGTCCAGTGCTCCCAGGTTTCCAATGGTGGTCTAACATCAATGGGTCCATGATCGCAATTTAAAAATTTTGTTTCGTTTTTCTGTGATGTTGAATAAATTTACTTAGTGAATGATTCATTTTCCACTATTTTTTTAATAATAAGTACAAACTTTCTTGCAGTATTCCACTGACAATCATTTTTGATGAAGATGTAATCTTTTGCGTTTCTTTAAACCTATTTTTACATTGCTACATATTTCTAAACTATGCAGGATACAGACTCATTTACCGAACTAATTTTCTATGTATATCCGAACAAATCATTGTGAATTCCTTTGATTTGTGGAACTCAAAGCTGTTCATTGCGAAATATTTAACACAGTGTCGTGTTTTTATTCAGTCATAATGAAATGGATGGTGTTTGAAGTATTTCTAGTGATCTTGTTATTGTATAGTAGAAAAAAGTAGTTGGCAAAATCTGCAATATAAAAGATAATTAAATTATCTGATAGCAGATTTTAAAGGGAGCTATGTTACTTTTCTAGATTATTGTATAGTTGAAATAATGTTCGACAAACTGTATCTTGTATTGTATTACCATAAAAGATCATGTGATACAAATAATAATAATAATAATAATCTGATCTGATCTGGTGTTATCTGGAAGAATTGATCACGAAAAGGTCAATTAATATTGGCTGACCTAATAAACAACATAATCCTTGATAGAATTTCAGTGTCGATGACTCATGAGCGTGTTTATCAAAGACTAGGATTAGATGTGAAAGTGTAAGTTTATTCTAGGGTCTCACATGGGAATGAATAATAAAGTCATAATTCATAAAGCGATATTAATCTAAAATAAATGAATGTTGAAATGTTACAGTTAAGAGATGTATTTTCGCATATGATTAATTTATTAGGGTGTAACAGAGGTGATGTTATTTCCTAGATATCTAAGAAATATACTTATACTGTACACCATTTTATTCAGTTAAACGTTTCATTTATAAGTCATAAATCATTAGTGTCAGTATACATTAGACTATGTAAAATATTCTAATTATAATAGTGTTTGTACTTGTCAGTTTGAGTGAATATTTATCATTTGAATCAATTGATAATAGTAAAACTTCACGAATGGTTGTTTAATAATTAGTCATATTCAACAAATTCGAGGAGATTATCCAACTTGTTTAAAAGTGACATGTTCAGTTGTAATAATTTAGAATTTTGTTTGTTTGAGTATGTGTAAATCATAAAATTGTTTGTTCTAATATTATTTAGCATGTAACGGTAATAGCACTCTAGAGAAAATCATGTTCGTATTATCGGACAACAATCAAAGAAAAATATCCTTTCTCTTTGATCAATATGTCTAAGTGTTTCTGAACATTTTATGCGATGCTTGTTGTGTTTAGGTCATTGCAACTACCAAAATAATGTTTAGTGTAGTGAGAAGAAAGTTTTTTAACTATCAGCTCTATGTAGTTAGATTTTTTATCTAGATCACAACAATATAGAAATGAAATTTAAATATGATGACTGAAATAGTTTATTAACTTTAAATCCCTTCAAGAAGGATGATTTGCTGTTGCTTTATAGGGTATTTTATGTCCCTAAGGATGCTTTGAGTACTCGTCGGTTCGTGGGAAGTGTTTAGAAATTTGATAAAATTTGAATATATTCCATGCAATTAGCAGTTTATAGAACCTTTCAAAAGAATTATGGAAAACGAATATGTGTCAAGGTCTTATTCGATACTTACCGATTTTCATGCTGACTTTATAATGTTTTCTTGAGCTTATACTATCTAGAGGTTCCATGCAAACCTGAAGAAACTCTATTTTTTATCGAACCTATTAACTTTCAAAGCAAAACCTTTTTCATACTTCTCATGCCTTGTTTTCTGTTGGAAGTTTGAGAATTGAAGGTTTCTGTGATTCAATACACTTTTCCAGAAGTTTGTATCTAGGCGTTTATGCACTAAAAGTACTAATAAGAATGTGGAAATTCTCGAAACAATTTCGAGAGTAGGATAATTTGACAATGTTATTTTGGAGTTATTTTGATCTCTGACGTGGATGAAAAGAAGCACATGCTGATGATTTTGTTCAGAAGAATAATGAATGCTTCAAAACCAATCCATCCATCTCAGAGATCGCATAATTCCTATCATCCTCATCCTGATATAAATATTCCCCATGATAATGTAATAGTATCATTCAATTTAGTGAGTTTATGGTAATCCATAAATTGATTGGTGATATAAATAATTTTTTGCTATTCGGGATACTTAGCTGTATCTTTCATAATCATTACACTGTGAAGAACGGGATATCAAGCTTTCGGTTTATCCGCATAAATTGATACTTAATCTATTCTCACATCAAAACTATCAATTTTTATACATAAGCTTTTGAAGATTCTATGAGTTTCGGGAGTTTTTGCGATCTTTCATGAATTCAGGATCAATTTCTGTCAGTGAACTACATGTAGAACTCTCAAGTCTTGTTCAGAAAGAATCAGTATCTTCTCGTTGCCATGATTTACTTTAAATTTCTTTTTGATTTATGACAATATTATAAATCATACCACATTTCTTATTAATTCATGTTGAATACATTCAATTAGCGAGCATTAATCATCATCATCACTTTGTCTAGTTTCCATTGGTGATTGAAATCTATCGATCACAGTCTCAGTATGGTTACTAGGACAAATGACTTACATACTCAGTTTAGTGATAAGTTGCAAATAGTCGGTAGTAAGTCCATAATATATTTTTAATACTGATTGATATTTATCACGGGTCCTGATCACGGAGTTATTTCACTCAGTCATAGATGTAGTAATAAAATTTAGAAAACGAACATGTAGATTATTATTTCGAGTCATCCAATACTTAAAATTACATTTTAAACGGCTGTTACTGTCCTTTCCTTAATCAACTTGTTTGAAATCATGGAAAGTAGATTTGTAGTTTTGATGAAACTCGTGACTAACATGAGATATAAAGTTATTATTAGGAAGAAGTAATAACGTAACTGTAAATTAGATACATTTGTTGGTTATAGCAGTTTAATTTGATGATATTTTAAATATTATACATATCAAAATGGGGGTTTGTGGAGATTGTAGTAATTTAATTCCATGAAAAACTTGGAAGCATTGAACGGCCATTTTGTCGTCCTCAGCATGACAACACACGCGGGATTTGTTAATCAATGTTCCATTTATTCTGATTTCTCTACTGATCACTATGAGTAAAACACTTAAAACTCAGTCTATTCAGATATAATTCTGATCTATTTTTGGTGAATAATAAGTAATCCTTATTCTCTTTCTTATGTCATGTAAATCACAAGTTCTTGTTGCAAATAACCGTTTTTCTAGGTTATAAAACTTAAGTTTATCACTGTGTTAATAAGTTTTATCGCAAATATATTAGCATTGTGAACGTTTTTCACAAATTGTAAAGTCTGAAAATGTCGAATCACGTAGCTTATTGACCACGTTAACCAAATCAATTTCAATCAATATTTTTAAATTCTCGTGATCGATCTAAACACATGCTTCATAATAGTGAAATTCGAACTAAAATTATTATTATTTTTGTATATAACAAAACTTTTATTCTCATTTATTGTCGACATGATTTACTGTATATTTTGCTTTTGTCAATTTCAGCTATACACTCATCAATAATCACTAAGTTTAGATTTATCAATGAATGATAACGTAAATTGTTCAAATTTGGATAATTATTCAATAATACCTGCTATTTTAATTGAAGACTATTGTGATTCACAAGTACTACATGGAAATTCCGGTGAACGAACTCCAATAAGTAGTCATGTTGGATCAATAACAAGTGATGAATTAAGTGTAACAAGTAGTCAAACAAGTAAAAAACAAAAATCACATTTATCTGGTCGTAAACTACGTTTAAGATTACAAGCTTTATTGCGATCAAAAACAGATAAACAACAATTAAAACAACAGTTTAATGAAAATACTGACAATAATACCAATGAACTGATCACTGGTTCATCTGCATATACAAGTAAACACTTAGGAAATGATGTTTATGATGGTGCAAAATCAATAAATTATGATGCAATACCACCAGTGCCAAAATTTCATGAAACCAGTCCTGAGCACAATTCTGAAAATGTATTTAAATATAATAATAGGGCTGATGGTCATAATGAAACTGAAGAAGTTGTTGAACATGAAAGGAAGGAAGATGGAGAATCATCAATATCGTTGTCTTATTCTAATAAATATAAGATGAAAAATATTTATCAGACTCAACCAAAACATCATGCTGATCCGTTGTATGAAAAACATCATGTTATTTTAGAAGAAAAAGCACTAATGAATACTGCAAATAACTTTTCTACTGGAGGACATCATGGTCATCATCATCATCATCATCACCACCACCATCATCATCATCATAAAACGCGATCAAATAAAAATTCACCATCGAATTCACTAAACGTTTTACAGAATGACAATTCTAATTCCTCTACAAGTAAAAAAACAACTGAGAAAAATAATTCGGTAAGTTTAATTAAGAATAAATATTTTCTTTATTTTTTGTGATTTATTTCTACTGAAATTAGAAAAAAGTTGACATAATTTATTGTATACTGCGTATCAAACAAAATTGGTTCATACAGAAAGAAATGAAGAAACTTATCAGACAGAAACAAGATTATGAACCAAAGCAACAGAATTACTCTAAGTCAAAGTGGCAACTCACTTTTTTTGTTAAATGGTTTCTGTCAAAGTAACTTCGAGATGACTGACTGAAACTTCGGTGGACCAGTGGGTTTCAAACAATTTTAGAGTGAATCAGTCGTCTTCAGTTAAATTGGATAGTCACCACGCTATATCGTGAATTAAATAAAGTTGTGAACGTGAACAACTGGACGTTATGTCAGTAGTTCTAACAGGTAAGGGTTTACAGTGGGTTCTTAATGTCCTGGTTTTGATCCATGAAGGAGTCTTGACTGAGGTTTACTGAAGAGACCTAGGACGAAATAGCTGTTCGGCGCTTCCTGATCCTCACTGGTATTCCGATTAAGATTAATCACTGACCAAAATCATTTAAGAAGTAAATGATCCTCACCAAACTACTTCATCTAGGCAATCTTTAATTTATTTTTTGTTAATTTACTCTAATTTGAAGATAAGAATGTAATCATTAATGACAATTAATTTAACTCTAATTTGTAGAGTTTTCTATAGCTTATATATGTACATTAAATGTTAATTTACTAGAATCTGTTTCATGAACTTGACTTACAGTTTGTGTAACGTTTCACTGTATTTGAGACATTTGACGAATTTTGTAAATCATCTAGTTATTGTATAATTTACTCAAATATTACATTTGTGGGTCATGATTATTGAAATATTACAATGAGTTCCTAACTTGTTTCAATTATCCTTAAACTCAACTTTGTTGAGGAAATAATTTATTGTTCAAATGTATACTTTTGATGGGGTTTTGTGTTCTTTAGACTCAGAGCACAGACTATCACTAACTAATACTTGACATCTGAATTATTTCTAAAATTTTGTTTGAAATAAAGATTTTTGTATTGAATGGTTTCAATGTTGTTTTCGAATAAGAACTGTATGTTTGAGTGTAAAATAATTTTCAAGTTTACTTGTTAATATTGTCAAACTGTTGGAAAAATTTCTTTGCTAAATGGATTATTGAACTTCTTTTTTTTATTTGTTAAAAAATAAATTTTACCACAACTGATATGCACAAACATACAATTAATTGATTTTTTGTCCCTTGAATTAGAAGTGTTCTCTTCATTTAGTCATTAATACTTTGTTTTATAACTCCATAAAGTGAATCTTAATTTAAATAAAGTATTTATATAGAAGTAATTTACATAACCAATTAGAATCAAGTGGATGAATATACTGAATGTTACAGAGGAGTGGACATTTTGTTCTTAATTCAGATTCCCATTTTTTAAATCACTGACTGATCGTAAATTAGACAAATATTGAAAAGCAGGTAGCAACAGACAGCTATTTTGTTCCTTGTATGTGTCATCTACAACATAAGGAATCGAACCCAGTAATTTCAGGTCTCGATTTGAGTGCCTAACCGTTATACCATTGACCAACTCTTAGTGGTGAACATATCGACTTTCATTCACTCACGATTTTATCCGGTCATCTTAAATTGTTGATAACTCTCAAAACTAGATAAGGTTAAATTCTAATGTTTACGCTTTTTCATCAGAACTCCTGGAATGGCCCTTCGAAATTATCCACCAGAGAGCTCATGATTAATAATGGTATAATAGTGTTTGTGAAGATTGTAGAATAAACTATAGAAATTCCATAATCACAAATCGCTTTATCCCAACTTAAATTAATGAGAATGCTTAGTTAATGTTATCTGTTTTTCAATAAAATTATGTATATTCTACGAAAACCTACTACTAATTTAGTTGTTTACAATGTCATAGAATGATAAAGTTAAAATATTTTATAAAATTTATGTACAAATTGAATTTATCTTTAAAAAAAAACCACATAGGAATTGTCATATTTATTAGGATTAAAATGTGTACGAATGATAAAGTAATTTATTTATTTAGTAATAATACAGTTTTATTTGAGGTTTACCGTAGACAATATGATTACCTCTTCATTACGTTAAAATAAAAAAGGGAGTTTTATGGAATGTTGAACTTTGTGCTTAGCAGTATGGTCCAGGTTGGATGTTTCATCTCACCTAGGACCTATCATACGGAGCATGACTTCTTACGACTAAGAATATGAGAGTTCTTATGAATTTTAAAAATTTTAATGATCATTTTTTTATTCAACTTCTTAATGAATAAATACCTAGACCCATGTTCTTCAATGAGCTGATCTTAATTGTAAATTAATATACGGCATTTGTTTTTAATGCAAGTTTAAGTTTATAATAAATCAAAGTCAATATCAGTAGCTTAAAACAATATGGTCAAGTTATGTATTTTCATGTCAATATTCTTCCTTATATTCGTTAACTTCAGTCCTTTTTAAATTATATCTGCCCTACTCATTTAAATGTTATATTTTCATTGTTTCTAGAAGTTTCTGTTCGTAAATCTGGGAAATTCAGAGTTCATTTGTCATGTTACATAGATAACGAATTCATAGTAATTTGTAAAATACAGTTTTATCGTTTTATTTAGTTATTGTTATTGTGAACTGTAAATGTCATAAATGTGTTACAACTTGTGGCCTTGTGCTCTATTGATATATGACGCAATGATTTCACCAATTAGTGAGCAGTGATTTATCGACTGGACTAATGACGCGTAAACCCATACGAGCTATCTAGAGTCCTTATCGGTTCTTTTTCCTGCCTAGCCCTGACTGTTAAGTCTAGAACGACAATCTCAGCCTTCGCGATTTGAATCATGTATTCCAAACATACTGGGTTTATATACAAACCGAACAGACCACATCGTAGCATAAAATGGAAAATAACATTTGCACAAGATCAAGGCGACAGTGGCTGTGAATGCGAGAGACTGTAATTAATAGACTGAACATAACTCAAGAACGATAAATCGCATAATAATAGTCTGTGGGTCAAAATAAAGCTCGTAATAAGTGAAGTGTAGATATATTCGATCGAGCTACTGAATAGTTATACATTAAGAATATATGTATAATATTTATTCATAAATAGTTCTGAAAAGTTACCTTTCTTAATTCCCCCCGGGATATAACAAAATCGTAGTAGCTTGCCATCACACAAGCTTGTGTATGTTCAAATGAATTAAAACCTTGATGTAACCTATTCGATAGATAATGTGTTATTTCGTATAATTTGTCTGTCATTTTATAGGATCTTTATTTTTGTATAATTCAGTACATCTCATTGAATGCAAGCTTCAACCGAAACAATTATTTTTCTTACTCTCTAAAGTACGAATTGCTTAAACGTTTTACGACTCATTCGAGTATACATATCTATCTTTGAGCCTAAGAATTAGGTTATACGACATTCGTTTCTATTCAGTCATTGATTAGTACTAGAAACTCAGTGTTGCCTTTTGCATAACTCATTGATAATATCCATATTTGTAGCATTCAATGAAACTGATCCAAAATAATGAACAAGCACTATAATTCCAATCATTATTTACTTGATGGATTTTAACATCAACAATTTTCGACAAGTTAAATAATTCTTAGATGGTATTCTCTAAGTGATGTAAATATCAAGAAAGATTATTCTTAAACATTTAAATAACTTTATTATAATGAATATGATTTTTTATGAACAAGAAGAATTATAAGCAAAACTAGATAGTGGCTAGCAATAGAATCCAAGACGCATGTTTTGTCCTATTTAGAACTCGTCAGCTGGATGTACTTACATCTCAAAACTCATAGGATGCACATATACCAATATAAAACTGATCAATTACAGTCCTAAATAACGATGAGAAGATACAGGTTTGCTAGGTTTTAAAATATCACGAGTTCACTTAATCTGCGAACGAGAACAAAGATCAAGTGACCAAAGACCAGTTAGTTAGCCTTCTGATGCATCCCAGCCCCGCTAACTAGGGGGAGAAGTCCAAGCTTGGAATGGGAAGTATATTTTGCAAAACAGCCAGAAATGAGCGATAACAACAAACACAATTCAAAACGTATATATATAGTGCAAAACCGTCTTTGGGGAGAGTTATCAAATAGCATACTAAAAGACGCAACAGACCAATAGCATTTAAGATATTTCCCAGTGGGAAATATGACATGAAGGTGATAAGAGCGCCTTTGGCGCGAAAACAAAGAAATTCAAATTTTCTAAATAAAATTACAAAATTAAGTCTTTTTCCAAGTGAGTTCTGGGGATCTAACGTCCCCAACAAAATTAAAGAACATCAAGTGAATTTATAAAAAAAATTATAGTTTGTAAATTTGCAATGCAAATTTTACATAAACAATTGTATTAAAAGTAATGTATGTATATGACCTTAAATGGATAAGATTAATTATGATAATGATGGGTAACTAACATAAATAGAAAGGAGAAAATTTTTTAACTTAATTTATATCTTTCTATGATACAGTTTTTTTTTTCTGTTTTTTTTTTAATTTAATGTAAAATGTTTACTTATTTATTGATTTTAAAATGGAATCATGTTTCTTTTTCTATTTCTCACATTAAAATTTATTTTATTTCATTTCTTTTTTTGTACTTTTTCTTTTTACTATTTAACCTCAATGTAATTTGATTTTGTTGTTAATTGAAATTTGAATAGAAACAAATGAAAAAAAAATTTTCTTAATGAACATGTTTATTTAATTTTGTTAAGATGAAACTGATGAAATTAATTTTCTCAAGATTTACTTATCTGAATAAATCATTTATTGAATAAATTGTATGTATATATATATACTATGATAATTTATTTTTTTACCTCAGATTGATGGTTCCATAACCAGCCATGTAATTTATCTTATTAAATAGTGTTTGATTCTCATATACATATAAGTTTATTGCCTAGCAGTTAGCT